AACCGCATAGCTCGGAGATAATCAAGAGATTTGACGAGCATTGTGGAGGTCGGGCGAACTAAACACATCATCGACATATGCTTTTCGGTCGCAATCGTTTAGCGAGTGAATATCACAAGACCTACATTACGAAATACTGGGTTCTAGCACGAACTTGTAACTTCTGTGATTTTATGCGAGACTCGCTTGCGCTCGATCGCATCATGATCCGCATGAGAAATAGTCGGAACTCACCCGACGCCTTTTGAGGCAGTGTAACCTGAACCTGATTCAGTGTATTGTCATCTGCCTTAGAAAAACGAGAACAAACCAGCAGCTTCAGATTTTGCCAGCAGAAACATCGGCATGACTGTATGCAGTATCCAAGACCATAGAAATCCCATTTCAGTCATTCGAGCAGCAGAAGCATAGTTATCAAGTTTGCGGTTGTTAGCATCTGAAATCAGCTGGATCATCACTGTCCCACATCGCAAATGTTCCCATGACAGTGTTTGATTCTTTAACCGACATTATACTTATCGATATTTAAGAATTGTATGACAAGGATCCTTGCTGTATTACAGGTAACAATGAACAATGAACAATGATTTATGACGGGTAAAAAAGCAGGTGCTTGACATGTCCCGTAGGGTGGATAACGTGACAAAAAGATAGCGAGGGGGATAATGTTGTCAGTTCGGGCGCTTACAGATGTAACTGCATTTTCGTATAAAGGGGGTTCGAAACGAGAGTGTACGCGCACAAAGCAACAGGAGAAAAGCAACGAGAAAATTTTTAAAAATAACCATAGCAAGGACAACGCTTACTTGTGTGCGATTATCGTCGGTCGACAGGATACAGAAATCCAGTGTCTATAGTATTAGCGTTCATCAAATTTCGTGCAAGGCGTTTGGAGTGACTCGCTCTAGAGTAGGGTTATGGCACTATCCCCTGTCTGTTGTGCATTAGTGCCAGCATCTGGTGGTCATGAGCTATAGCACGTAGTGTAAATGTGACAGGGTATCGTCAAGGCGTTTTTTGAAAAGGGATAGGGTGGATGCATTAATTACATGTTCGGGGAGGGCGTTCCAAGGCTGTGTCACTCGAAGGGAAAAATAGTTTCGCCGACATTCCAGGCGGCTGTACTGCGTGACTAACTTAAACTGGTGACCTCTTAGCGAGGTGTTTTGACTGAGTATTAGAAGGGAATGGCATGGGTGGTTTGGGTCTCTCAGGATTAGGTACACCATTATGAGATCGCCCCTTAGCCGCCGATAACGTCCACTGTAGATGTTAAGGGTCTTCAGCCTGAGTGGGTAAGGGAGGCTGGTCAAACCTCTGACGCTCTTCGTTGCCCTACGCTGTGCAGTATCGAGCGCGGTGAGATGGTGCTTGAGTCAGCGTTGCCACACTTGGATAGCGTATTCCGCGTGCGGCCTCACGTAGGCACTAAGCATTTTTGGAAAGATCGAAGGGTCAAACTTCCCGAAGGCTCTGCGAAGAAGGCCGAGGTACTGGTTTGCTTTCTTAGCTGCCTTTTCAGTCTGCATCGAACAACCGAGTTCATCTTGAACTGTCACGCCGAGATCGCACTCGTGAGAAGCCCGCTGTAGAATTTGTGATCCTAGGCGGTAGCAGTGCAAACTCTTGTGCCGTATACTGAGAACCTTGCACTTGGTGACGTTGAAATACAGCATGTTGTCGATGGACCATGTGTACGCTTTGTTCAGGTCCTCTTGTAACAGGGTGTGATCCTCCACTTCAGCTATAGTGCGCCATACCTTTAGGTCATCAGCAAATAGCAAGCAGTTAGAAGACAGCACACTCACGAGATCATTTATGAAGACCAGGAACAGGCGGGGTCCAAGTACCGAGCCTTGAGGTACGCCGCACTGAACTTCGATGGATTCTAATAGGTTGCTCCTAACCCTAACATTTAGGTGACGTTGTAGGAGAAAGTCTCCTATCCAGCCCAGAATAGGATCGCCGATTCAATATTTCTGGAGTTTGTAGAGGAGAATGCGATGGTCTATGCGGTCGAATGCCTTTGAGAAATCCAAGTAGGCCGCGTTGATTCCAACACCAGCGTCCACAGATTCCGCCCAGTTTGCACGAGCAATCAAGAGATTAGTTGTACAGGAGCGATTTCTGCGAAATCCATGCTGTTCCGGAACGAGAATTTGGTTGTTCTCCAGGTACCCCATTAAAGCCTCAGCTACAATGGACTCCATAACCTTGGAGATCACAGGAAGGAGTGTTATCGGGCGATAATTTGCTGGATCAGCACTGCTGCCACTTTTGTAGCTTGGCGTGATAATTCCGTGCTTCCACATCGTGGGGACGTGCATCTCGTTCAGACATCGTTGAAAGAAAATTGCAAATGGTCCTGCCAAACTCATGGCAGCAACTTTCAACACCTTCGGTCGAATGCCGTCCGCACCCGGGGAGCTGAACTCGCGCAGAGACATCAGCCTCTTCAGTACAGCTGCGGAGGTAAACGATATGTGGTTTAGCCCTGATGGCGGCGTTATCTGCTTAGGCAGGATGTACAGTGATTGCTCGCTTTGGAAGGTACGGCCAAATTGTTGTCCAAGAAGATTGGCTGCCTCTTGTGCGGTTTGGGCTAAACCGTTTGCTGTGTGCAGGGCAGGAATACCGCGCTTAACACGGCGCAAATTGTTTACGTGCCTGTATAGCAGCTTGGGATTGGAGCTAAACTTTTCCGCTAGACTTTGTTGGTTCTTAAGTTTATCCTCTCGAACGAGTTTGACACAGTGGTTCCTGTGTATTGTGTAGACATCCCAGGTATGGTCGTTCGGGGAGGCTATATAGGTGTGCCATGCCAAGTCCCTTAATGCCATGCACTTACGTGTCCTGCTCCTTACGAAAGACTTCATCCTTCTAGGTCGGTAGCGTTTGTTTCAGATGTCCGTGCCACGAGCTTGGTAAATATGTTGACAAATTCACCACAGGCCACCTCAAGCGTTAATTCAGCTAAGAACGACCAGCTGGTTGCATCAATTAGGTCGGACAGGTCTTCATAGTTGGTTATGACACGATATTCCTCGGCATGTGCTTTAGGATAATCCGCGTAGCACATGTAATGTAACAATAGCGTCGCATGATCACTGCGGCCCAAAGGAGTAGGTAAGAAGCATTGGCAGTGAATATGACGGAAGTTCCTCAACACCTCGGTAATATTCACAAATAGGAACTAAACGATCTAACGCGAGACCTCGGTTTGTCGAAACAAGCTTGAACTGTTCGCATCTAGGCTCAGAGCTGCTTGAAGATAGAAACAAAAATAAAAAAGCACGCACAAGCGGCCATTTTGCTGTTCTTTTCTGAAGACGAAGAGGTTGTCTGTTGCAATAGTATTGTTGAAGTTCTTCTGGTAATGGGACTATCGACATATTGACCGAAAGGCCGGTAGCATTTTATAGACATTGGTAGTCTCTTTGCTTTCTGTGCTAATGGGACAACAGAAGTCATCACCCTCATTATAAGAAAATGGTTTGGCTTACCAGGAAAAGTATGAATATAGGCGCTGCAAAAACATCATCAAGAAACATTCTGATAGAGAAAGCATTGTTCTTCACTCACATCATATAAAATCGGGGTTGGCGTAGCAATTTACCAAAGCACATAACAGCGATGGTGGTTATTTTAAGTACAGTTATAGATCCTTCTTCGAACTGTATGGAGAAACTGAAGATCGACACCACCGATGGTTTTCAAATTTCACTACTTACGGAGCGAACTTTTACATGTATAGACAGTGTTGATGCATCTGTTTGGGATGGTTTCGTCCCCGTTGTCCAGACCTTCCTGGTTAACCATAAAGTAAGGAGCAATGAAGAAGTGGAGGAGAGTATTCTTGCAAACTTCGGCACCTTGTTTTGTAACCTGCGTAGGAAGTTACACGTTTCCCATAGTTACTTAGACAGATTCCCGGATAATCTTGGTGACTTCAGTGAAAAGTAATACGAGGGACTCCATCAGAACATCGAAGTGATGGAGAAGTATCAAGGAAGGTGAGACAGCCGCATGATGGCGGAGCACTGCTAGAGTAGCCTAAGTGACTTTCTAGATAAATCTCACATCACGAAATCGCATTAGCAGTATTTTCGATAAGTGACTGTCAGACATGCAGATTATTCTTCAATTATCGTGTATACAAAACCATTAGGTAGTTACTATCTCTGCAGGTTAGCACAAGAGACAGTTTTCATATGATTTCGGGCTAAATATTCTTCAGCTTTCTATCATGTAATGCCTTTTCGTGGGTGTGCCGTATCTCAAAAAGTAGGGCCAATGTAGCAAAACTAAGGTCAGAATCGGAATCAGTGACACGAATTGGCCCTAAAATCACTACAGCACCATTGACACAGAAGTCACCGTTGCCAATGTTTGAAGAGAGGTATTAAGAGGATATTATGGGTATTAAGGGGATTCGATCCTGCTTTGCTTTTCAACAGGCGATGACATCCAAAACATCCCTATACAGCTGTTTCGTCTCCCCGGGACCCGTTGGTAGTCTGCATTCTAGAACCGATGACTCGCTTCACACGAGACAGTAGTGATCAGGACCTCTGGGCCCCACCAAGGTGACTTTCTGTCGCGCTAGTTTCCGATCCACAGAGGTCTACGTCGAGCCCCAAGCACACTAAGTACCCGACCGTCCGACAATGCTGTAAACCAGCTCGGATTGGAGGGCATCACGGGCTTTAGTTTACACTAGGCAGAAGAAATTTAGAATGCGGATACGTATTAAAAGAACCAACCAACATCCGGCTTCTTCCCGAACATGCGTTGCATTCTGATTGAGTGAATCTATGGTCAAGCCACTTCCAGATTAATACTGTTAACCAATGCATGCCCGTCGAAATGAAACTTGATGAATCTTCCACATGAACAGCACCATTCGGGTACTTATGGAGATTGCGATTTATCTACTGTGTAGAAAATTGTCATGTATTGTCTTAATTTTTCGCATCTGCTTGCATTTTGCTTCTTTTCAGTAATTCCATCTTTCAAATGTTTGAATCCGGCTTCGGACAGAAGGATCTCCTCTTCTCTGATGACACCGAGAGCCTCAGTCTAATCCCATGGGAGAATCAAACATACACGAGATGGCTTGGTCCCCAATTTCTTCAGATGGTTGAAAACTTGGAATTCACGGCGAACCGATACGAAGCTGGAATTTTCGCAGCTGGGACACGACAAAACTGTTGCATTGAAACCACACTTTTGTCTACGCTCTACTTTCTGTTGGCCTTTTTCTATCCTTTCAATTTCGCGACTGCTTAGGGTAGCCCAGCATATGCAACTAGCCCACTCCACCGGTGTATGTAATGCTTTGTACATAGTTGCCATCACGTTGAACACCGAATATTTTTAAAAATAAAAGCCGACCGGTCACTTGTCTCGCTCTCCACCAAACGAGTTGTATGATCTCACGTGCAAGGTATATCGTTGGTTCTGCCATCCATGACACCCGAGAGATGCTCAGCACAACTCGAAATGCAAGGATCGTGATTTGTGAACGTTTTGTGTGTTGCACGAGTTCTTCCATGTACGCAATGATTTGTGGTAAGGTAACAGTCAAACTGTTTCTTCTTGGTAGTAACAGCTTACAGATAGGGGGCTTCATACCAAGCGTAAATAAAGGGCACTCAAGCTCACTGTAGAACAATGGAACGATGGTGTATTAGGGGTAGAAAAATAGCAATGCTTAACTAGTTCCGTGGGATGGAAACTATTGAGAAAATAAAAATTCATGATAACCTACAAAGCGTTTTGGTGAACCCAACATAATCATATGTCGATGAGCAGATGTTCGTGTATCAAAAGTATAACTCCGTAAAATCATTAGTTAGTTTTGGAAACATACCGTTTTGTTGTGTTATGTAGCCCTCTGGCTAACACAAGTTATAGAATGAAATGCGAATGGGACAACTTTACATGAAGTCGCTTATCAAACAATTTTAGATTGGGGGCAGAGACGACATAATTCGAGGAAGTATTCCAAGGATGACACAATTGAAGAGAAAGGAAATTTCTACGGAATTCCAGCTGCTCATAATGTATTGTCACTTTCAGGGGATGACCTCTTAGCTTAGTGTTCTGGATCATTTCCGGCAGTGGGCGGCAAATGTAGTTTAGGTTCTTCAGAATCTGTTAAACCATTATGAGGTCCACGGAAATGCCGTTGTCGACTACTGTGCACTCCTAGAGACCTCCATCCGAACTGTTGAGGCATATGGAAAAAGCTCCTCACATCTTTGGTTGCTCTTCATTGAGGAGTGTGGAGAGCAACGAACTCCTGTTTCTGCCACATTTGGATGGCGTATTTCACGGGCGGTCGCATGTAGGCGTCAAATATTTGTGAAAAGACTGAGGAGTTAAACTGACCGAACGCTCTGCGAAGCAGGTCAAAACGTTGATCACCCGTTCTCGATGCCTTCTCTGCTTGTTGTGAGCATCCGAAATCGTTCTGTATCAGTACATTTAAGTCGCACTTCTGAGGGGCCTACTGCAAAGTGTGGTCTTCAAGCTTTTACACTCTTACCAGCTGATGACGCACGTGGATCATCTTGCACTTGGCTGCGTTGGATAGTAATCCCATAACACGCGCTTGAAACCTCCGTCACTGAAGAAAGTTGGCAATGCAACCAAGAACAGAATCCCCGATTCCGGAGTTCTGTGGCCTGTGAAGTAGGTTGCGGTGGTCTGAGCGATCGAAAACATTGGAGAACTTCAAGTAGATGACATCGATTTCTGCCACCCTATAGATCGCTTCCGTCCAACTACCTCGTGCCATAAATATGTTGGTGGTGCATGCGGTGTTGACGGAATCCATGTTGCTCCGGTGCCAGGACGTTTCATTACTCCAGGTGGTCCATTAAAGCCCCAGTGACAACCGTCTTTAACACCAGAGCACGGGAAGGAGAGTCACTGGGTGATAGTTTGCAAAGTCTAAACGGGTACCGCCTTTAAAAATTGCGGTAATCATTCCATGCTTTCACACAGTGTACACTTGTTATTCATTGAAACATCTTTAAAAAACAGCGACAAGTGTTCGGCTCACTTAGTGGACGTAGCCTACAGTGCTTTCGAGTCAATATTTTCGGCTCCCGGAGAGCTATGACAGCTCAATGTGGTTGCTGGGTCGGCGAGTACACATGCAAACCCTGGAGTCGGTAATGTGAATGACTGTATGTGACAAGCTGCGAGTTCAAAAATCTGAGCGTATTGTAGCCACAGGGCATCAGCTGCTTCGTGAACCCTGCACTTTGATGTCTGTTGTGAAAAGTGAGGATGCCATGCTTCACTTTACGAAGACCGTTTACATGCCTATAGAGTAGTTTGTTGTTTGCCATAAACCTTTTGACTAAGCATTGCTGCTAAGTAACCTTGTCCTCACTGACAAGTGTGGTGCGATGGGTCAGGAAGTTGCCCCAAGTCTCTGAGTAGGCATGCCATGGTACATCCATTACAGCCATGCCTTTTTGAGTCCTGCTTCTGAGAAATGATAGTTTTGCAGCACGAAGTGACTTGGATTCCGATGTTCTGTTGACCATATCATTAAATCACTAAACGAACTCTGTTCAAACGTCGTCAAGAAGACTGCTGTTTGCAAACTTCCAAGTAGATACCTTGACGAGTTCTTTCAAGATGTGGTAGCGTGTGATTTTATGGTTTATTCCGAATGCTCAGATTGCTACTCTGCATAGCATACGTAGTCATACGTTAAGGCATTATGGTCGCTGAGACCAAATGGACTCCATCAATGATTTGTCGACCATGAGCTCTTCATTTGGGAGCACAAGGTTCAATATGGCCGGTTTGTTTGCTGTCCTGAATCTAGTGGGCGAGATGACATTACAGTATAAGGGAATATTAGCGACAATTCACGCAAGTCTGTTTTTAACGGTTCGCTAGAGGATGTAACTTCTCCAGTGCATGTACATTGAAGTCATCAGCGATGAGAATGTAGTCATACCTAGGGCGTGTCACTCTGTTTAAAGCACGTATCAAGTTGGAATCCATTTCCGGATTGCACGTTGTGGGTGGTAAATGACAGCTACGCAATATGCGTCTTTGTGTTTTAGTCGGAGACGGCACCAGTGAGTCGGTAACAAAAGTTTCCGTATCATCAAATATTACACATTGCAGGTCACTGCGGTAGTACCGAAGGACTCCACCTCCACAGCTTGGACAGTCATTGCGGATCAGTGACATTCCTGCTATCTCAACCTTGGCATCAACCACTTCTTGGGGTAACCACGTTTCGGTAATGGCAGTTAGGTACCGATCTACCCGAAGTTCGTTAAGTTTACTGAGGATCCCTTGGGCATTAGTGTACATACATGTAAGTTTCCTAGATTTCAGCAGTGTGCCGGAGATTTTGCAATTAAAATGTGAAATTTCTCCGGCCAGTGAGTGACTGGCAGCTGATCAATTTTTCGTTGGGTACTTCGCAACGGGTTCGACGTTTTATTATTCAGCTGCGTAGATACTCCCGTCTAATCTTTCATGTACAGAGTAAGCAGTCTGGTCACTCACTTCAACGACAAGTTGTATGGGTTCATCAGACGCAATGCTGGTATTTTTCTGTTATAATTCCCATCACCTACTGTTCTGTGGGTGAGATACCATCACTGGAGGGCATAGCGCTCGCTTCCTACAGCCGAAGCTCAGTTGACAGCCTGCAACGAAACATGCACTAGATTTTCAGCAGCCGTGCTACCACATCGCAAAACCGACGATCACATTGGCCCGTACCGCTTGTCTACGAAAGCTAAGCCTAAGGCTTCAAAGTTGAACGCTAATTATGACACAGGAAGCTGTGTTAAACTTGTACGATTCGTTGTAGAACGCACAAATTGTCTCAAAATAGTTCATCCTATATGAGCTCGCCTTAGTGTGTGTGATATAAGGAAACTTCATAATACGATTGATTCCCTCTGGTTTTGCACTCAGTGTACGACTATTCCACTCGTCACATGTTTAGCTGTGTTGGCACTAAAATGCTGTAGACTGACAAAGATGGTAAAACAAGCAGCCGCCATGAGAGCTGTCCCACAGGAACCAGACAAATCAACGCCTCGAATTTGATACTAAACATCCAACTCCAATTCAGAACAGTGTACTCAGGCCGACCATAAGAGCAACCATTCAGATTTAACCACCCCAATATTAGTGGTTGCTCATGAAGATGCGTCCGCTACACCTTCTTTATCAGAGCCACGCGACACATCGAATACTTTTAGAGGACTGTCAACTTACACATTTGTTGTTGCTACCCACTTGACAGATATGCCGCCCATCTTAACCCCATCCGCCGTCAAACTAGGATCAGTTAATACTGCCAATATCATCACGGAACTCAAGTCGCCGCTAGTCATCCAACTAAAAAATGCAGTCGCATGTTCCTCCAAAAAGGCGAACACGAGGCAATATCATAATTCTCTGAATGTTATATGCTCTAATGTGACTGAGTCCGAGGCGAACTCCATAAAAGCTAAGCTGTCAGATGACAATAAACAGTGTGACTCCTTGTAGCAACTAATAGGGGTCCAAACTAAACCAGCCAGTATGGTGCGCCTCTTCCGTCACCCAGACTCCGTACACTACGTTTAACCTAGATTAATGCAGGTAACGGTTCAGTTAGGTAATGAAGCAAAGGCAGTTCTCTTGTCCGCCTCTCGCTTCCGTACCCCCTCATACACTGTTCGAATCTTCTCAGATGTTCCTTGGAGTGAATGTCAGAAACGCAAACAACAACCGGATGACTTCCGTAAACAAACGGACGTAAAATGGCTCCTTGTCTACGATGTCCCCGAGCTCCAGACATTGAGCGAGCTAGAGGCCAAAGCGCATGACTGGGATAAATGGCGTTTTATTAGTGAAGTGCTCTTACTCGAAAATATTATAATTCGACATCAAGGTTATTGCTATCACCTAACTCCAAAGAGTGTGGTCCACAGTGATGAAAATAACATTGCAATCCAAACTAATGGCAGAACATGTGATCGAAATGTGGCACAAGACGCTACACTGCTGCCATCCGAATACGTATAAAAAGGGTAAACAGCCGCTACAAATAAGGCAACACTGAGCAGTCAGTTCCTACCCACAACACCGTCACCATCAGCTCAGAGAAGGGATAGTGTCGAAAAAGGCCGGTAACTGAAGGAGGACACCGAGTGCTCTACACAACAACCCGGGATGACCCTAGGGTCTGCGTCGGCGGCCCTTAAAAATACAAGCCGCAGCCGACCCCACGAGGTTGGGGATAGACACTC